CTAATTTCCAAATTTATAACCGCCCCTCTATGTGTCTTGCAAATCTGTTTTATGTATAGTCCAACATTTTTATCACCTTCGATATGGGAAATGGCAGCGGATCCAACCAAAAACTGTTTGGAAAATCATAATCATCGGTGGATGGGCAGTTCAAGAAGCTATAGCCAGGGTCGGAGAGCATATTATGGATTCAAACAAAGACCAGTTGAATCTCTTCGTTTGCTCTCGTACAGGTCTGCTATGGCTCTGTTCTGGCATCAGTCAATGTCAGTTGGCCCAGTGCCAGGTCGACCTGGTGTGGGTGTAGACAAACAAACAAACGAAAAAACGAGCGGAGCACAAGCGGAAAAGCGGAAAAGCCGAACAGAGCAAATGAAAAGGGAAAGTGTCCAACTGTTTCGGCCACAATGGGACACAGCCAGGGGCCAGCGATGGTACCCAAGAATCTTCCTCTAATATTTTCAAGTAGTTTTCAGCCTCCACGCGTCAAGTATCAAGTGTTCTTATAGCTAGATATACAACGGGACATTTGTATACAGTGCGTTTTATAACTATAATCCATAGGGAAACAGAATCATGCTTGCCTGAGGCCCAAAGTCAAATATTCAACTGCCTTATAGCTCTGCCACGCACTGTACACTCTTTTATCTATAAGACCCATACATTTTGGCCACATATATCCGCTCAATTGCAAACATATGTTACAAAAAAAGACACAAACGACGATAAAGCATGCCAAATATTCGTGGCATATTTTGTTTGTGGCATTTCTGGCGTATTATTTTAATTTCTATTAATTTTTTGCCACCCCCAATTCGTTGCCACTCGCCAAAAGGAATACAAAAAGAAACAAAAACAAAGGGAAATTATAAACACATTTTTTATAAGAATTTTTTAAATGGCTTTTATTGAATATGTTTTTTTGAGCCTATAGGTCTCGGCGTTCGGGCCCGATGGCATTGGCCCAAGTGCAAAATTTATGATTTCATTTATCATTCCAATTTCTTTCTCCCTCGTTTTCGTTTCTGTTTTGTTTCACATGGAAAATATATAGTTTTGGAGTATATCGGGACGGACTTGTGCAAGAATTGGCATAATATAACATGTAAATAGCCCAATGATATAATGACGCTGCCATCTGGTTGAAGGTTGGTTAAAATCTGTAAACTTGAACCACATTTGGGGAAGTGGGTCAGTGGTTTTCTCCTTAGCAAAGAATTAACTGAAATTTCCTTTCACAAATTGATCTTGATCTTCGTAAGAGAGATGTCGATTCCATATTCTATTTCATTCGACTGCATCATTTCCGTTTTCCAATTTCGTGCCAAGAACGTCATGCACTTGGCCAGACCGTGGCAGACACCCCCTAATACCAATACAGGCCCATCATTTACTCCTCCCTGTTCTGTATATTTTTTTTGTTGATCTTTTGACGGCGTCCGTATGGGTTTGTATCTGTTTTTAAAATAAATTCAATTCATTGGAAGGCAAAATGTGTGCAAAATGCGTCGCTAAATTTGCGTAAATCCATAAAATCACGAGCTGTTCCACGGATTAGCAATTTCTGTTTAACTATTTGGAGAGATTGCTTAATGCAAATGAATTGAATACACATTCATTTATCAGTCGATCAGATTGTACATCAAGCAATGTATCTGTTTTTGATTGTACTTGTGTGTATTTTAGACTATAACAAATATAAATAAAATATATTCATTTTAATGCTACATTTTGCATTCATTTAAATGGCAGTTTATTTGATTTGTAATTGAATTTTTGCATTTATTTCTCAATAAATCATTTCCATATATATCCATATTCTATTTAGCTATGAATCTAGTTTATGTTAGTTCTATTGAAATAATGATAAACCTATCAATCGATATATCTTTAAAGATCTATAGGTCTAGGGAGCATCTACCTATCTTACATCTATTCATAAATATTCCTATAGATGTATGTATACGTACATACGTGTCTAACTATATTCCGGCGCCTGCTTTTGCCTCATTTAAGGCGACGTCAATGATCCGAGAGCCCTACGAAGAGCAACGCTTTTAGATATATTTTTAGCCATTTTCATTTGGAGAATCGGCGATTCTTGTTTTCCTATTTATTTTATTGCTGCCTATAATTGGCTGGTTTATGTGCAGAACCACACAGCTTGCGAGAAAGAGACATGGAGCAGCACATCCTGAACTTGAAATAGAACCATGGCAGGAGTACATGGAGGGACGAGGGGGAATGGTTTGGAGGCCCGAACTGCACTGCACTCGGATTATGATGTTGCGCTCGAGGGACCGTGATTAGTTTATTTTTGGCACGTTCCCTGCAATTTGAACTTTGCTGTGAATGGAAAGTCTAATGACTGAGGAATGGCGCTGACTCAAAGCCAATCTGNTTTTATTGCTGCCTATAATTGGCTGGTTTATGTGCAGAACCACACAGCTTGCGAGAAAGAGACATGGAGCAGCACATCCTGAACTTGAAATAGAACCATGGCAGGAGTACATGGAGGGACGAGGGGGAATGGTTTGGAGGCCCGAACTGCACTGCACTCGGATTATGATGTTGCGCTCGAGGGACCGTGATTAGTTTATTTTTGGCACGTTCCCTGCAATTTGAACTTTGCTGTGAATGGAAAGATAGATATTAGATATTATTTTTAGATATATTTTTAGCCATTTTCATTTGGAGAATCGGCGATTCTTGTTTTCCTATTTATTTTATTGCTGCCTATAATTGGCTGGTTTATGTGCAGAACCACACAGCTTGCGAGAAAGAGACATGGAGCAGCACATCCTGAACTTGAAATAGAACCATGGCAGGAGTACATGGAGGGACGAGGGGGAATGGTTTGGAGGCCCGAACTGCACTGCACTCGGATTATGATGTTGCGCTCGAGGGACCGTGATTAGTTTATTTTTGGCACGTTCCCTGCAATTTGAACTTTGCTGTGAATGGAAAGTCTAATGACTGAGGAATGGCGCTGACTCAAAGCCAATCTGTGTCCGGGGGTACACTGTAAGAAATAATGAATGGAAACATATGCTTTATTCGAGTTTTCTTTGGCATACTTTAATGAGATTGGTAAAATAAAGTTTTTGACTCATTTGCTTTAATATTGTTGATCATAGAAGTATTAATATAGTTNCTGCACTGCACTCGGATTATGATGTTGCGCTCGAGGGACCGTGATTAGTTTATTTTTGGCACGTTCCCTGCAATTTGAACTTTGCTGTGAATGGAAAGATAGATATTAGATATTATTTTTAGATATATTTTTAGCCATTTTCATTTGGAGAATCGGCGATTCTTGTTTTCCTATTTATTTTATTGCTGCCTATAATTGGCTGGTTTATGTGCAGAACCACACAGCTTGCGAGAAAGAGACATGGAGCAGCACATCCTGAACTTGAAATAGAACCATGGCAGGAGTACATGGAGGGACGAGGGGGAATGGTTTGGAGGCCCGAACTGCACTGCACTCGGATTATGATGTTGCGCTCGAGGGACCGTGATTAGTTTATTTTTGGCACGTTCCCTGCAATTTGAACTTTGCTGTGAATGGAAAGTCTAATGACTGAGGAATGGCGCTGACTCAAAGCCAATCTGTGTCCGGGGGTACACTGTAAGAAATAATGAATGGAAACATATGCTTTATTCGAGTTTTCTTTGGCATACTTTTAGGAGTTTGGTAAAATAAACTTTTTGGCACATTTGCTTTAAAATTGTTGATTTTAGAAGTATTAATATAATTTCTTAACCTTTAGGAATGCCTTTTGGCTAAGGTAAATATCGAATTATTTGAATTAATTCAGAGCTAACACTAAGCTAACATTTATCAATTAAACCGATGCATATTAGTCAGTTTTGTTTGGAGCACAATCAGCTGTCAATCGACAGGCCCCAAACACCCAATTGTTCCGAGTAGAATAGCATTGTTGCTGCTCATGGTGTGACACATAATGACGCATAGACGGACAATGGTTGTACTAGTCGTAGCAACAAAAGCAGCGGCTTTCTCTACTCATCAATTAATATTCATAAGGCAATTATACGGCTTACCATAAGATATGTAAATTTCTAGGCATGAGTGCGGGCATGAGTGTGTTTATGATACTTAAAACATTAATTAAAGACGAGGCTTGCAGGTCGAAGCTTTAGATACTCTCATGAGGCAATGGAGCAATGAAGCATGAAGCAATCTGATCTTGCTCAAATATGTCAATGTCAATAACAATTGAAAGGGAATTTGTAAACAAATGAATGTTAAAGCTAAGATTTTACTCATATTTATCCCTTTTTTACTTGGAAATAGTTGTGGAACATGATGCGAAGATTTTTAAGAGTAATTCTTGATCGTTGTATTGATCATTGCCAGACTTTATCCAATCGAAAATCGTTTCTTCCATGTATTACATGCTACTGCTTGAATTATTCATACCCTCTGCAAGGGCATAATAATGAATTACATGTATGCCATGTGTCTTTTTTGTCAAGTGTACTGACACACACACAGAGACTTGCACTTACACCACACACTCGCACACTTGCATGTTGTGTGCTCATATTTGTCCAGCATTTGTCATCATCATTGTCATCATCATTATCATCATCGTCATCGGCGTTCATGTGTGTGCATGGAGTGGAGCATCGACATGGGACTGGCTCACAGTTGCCATTCAGCCGCCAGCAAAGTCGAAGCAGCCCCAATCCGCCGAATGTGTCCGCGTGCGCTGAGCGTGTGTATAACATTAATTACTGTCAATTAAAGATATTCCGAGTATGTACTAAGTGAACGAACGGCAAACTAATGCATGTAAATTTCTCACCAACAGGTTGAAGGCATTTAAACAACAATAACAATAATTATTTGACACGAAATAACGATTTGTATGTGAACGAAAAACGAAACGCCAAGAACTAAAAACTAAACACAATTAATGGGATAAGCAATTTAAACGAAAATTAAACTAATTAATGAAAGCAACCACAGCTGCCGCTGCAGAAAGGGAAGAATCAGCCGCAGAGAGTGCAGAATAGGAAGGAGAAAGAACATCGAGAGAGTATAAATAAACAAAAGCAACAATCGACAATGTTTAATCTGCTGCGACGCTCGCGTCAGAGAAAGCTGCACAAGAGCAAAAACAACGACACAAGCGACGAAGAGGATAAAAGTAATAAAGAGAGCAGCCCTTGCCCGAGCGGCTCTCTTCGGCAAAGAGAGAGCGAAATGCAGGCGAAAGAAGAGCACAGCGCAAGAGCACAGCTGCCAGCACACAGACGGGCGGTGATCGAGGAGCTGGAGGACTTTGCCGATGACAGCGACGAAGAGCAAAAAAGACGTTCGTCGCCGCCATGTGTAAAATTAGCAAAAACAGCTGCTAATGGCCGCCACTCCGAAGAAACAGCGGCGGCACTCTCTCCGCTCCGCTCTAACAAACGGTATATAAATAACACTGGGCAGAGGGTGGTGGCAGGGGCTGTGTCGTCTGCCGTTCTTGCTGCTGCTGCTGCTGCTTCTGCTCTTGATGATGATCCAAATGCTGCGGCGGACAGTCCAAACGAAACAGCCAGCGCGAACGCGAATGCGAATGCGAATGCTAACGGTAACGGTGAGGAGAGCGCCAGCCAACACATTGAAAAGGTGGCCAATCAGCTAATTGGCAATTGCCATAGCCCCAATATTGGGCCACTGATCGATGGCCGGCCAAACGACACAGTCACAGTAGTCGCCCGTCGAGAGCGTGCCGCCGCAACGAACGAAGCAGCAACACCACGAAAATCATCGTCGCGCCTTTCCCTGAAAAGCTTTGCTGCCCTGCCACTGGCCCTGAGTGGCAGCAACAGTAACACAACTAACGGCACAATCCAGGACCTTGACTGTGAGACAGCGTCAGTCCCAGCGAGTGTGACAAAGAAACGAAAAACTCTGCAAAAGAGTCGCGATTTTCTCAGTGAAATTTTCATGGCGCGTGGACGTAATCATCAGCGCCAGCAGCAGCAGCAGCAGCAGCAGCAGCACCACCACCAGAAGAAGCAGCAGCAGCAGCAACAGCAAGTGCAACAGGGCAGTGGCAAGTGCCACACTGCAGAAGAGAAGAGCAACAAAAGTAACGATAACGATAACAGTAGCAACCACGTAATCGATCAGGCAGCACTGGCACGCCGCCTCACACACCTTGAAACGAACTCCGACCCCGCCACTGCCACCGCCGCAGCATCCACAAATAGTTATCAAATGACTATGTCTAATAATAGACCAGAGAAGCACGGCCAGAGAGCCGAGGAGCATCAGCAGCCAGAGAGCGAACTCAAGCGAGAGCGTCGCAGTAATTCAGCTGGAGCAGCGCCACATCAACGCCCAGAGAGACGAGAGCGCCACCGGCCATCAGAGAGTGTAGAGAATCATGGCCGAGCAATGGCGCGATCATGCAGTGCCGAGCCGCGAGATGTCAGCCCCAGCAGAGACTTTATTCAAGCGGCAAACGTCGTCGAGTGGCGGCGAACGGTGGCCCGGCACGCGGAAGCAGCAGAACAACGCGAACAACAGCAGCCAGGCAATGCAACATTGCAACAAGCAGAGCAACAGCAACAGCAACAGCAACAACAAACAAGTGACATAATCATGGGCCAAACCAGTGCCAAGCCCAACGAAACAGCAACGGCAACGGCATCGGCGCACAGCTCGCGAGCCAGCACGCCGCGTGAGTTCCGTGAATCGGTGGTGAGTCCGCCACAGGCACCGCCGCGCCATCACAAGTCACAGGATGCAGGAGTGCCACAAATAACGGTGGAGGATTGCAGCTTTGAGAGCTTCAGCAGCAATGAAGAGCATGAGGAGCACGAGGAGCACCTGGAGCGAGAGAAGGAACCGCAGGAATGGCACAAACCGGAACCGGAAGTGTACCATGATTTCGATAGCGGCCTAAACATCGAAGAACTCAACGAAGCCAACATTGAGACGCTCGAGGATGAGGTCTTTGCCACGGACATACCCTCAACCATCTATCAGAATGCGAATGGCAGGCCATGGACACGCCTCAGTCATGTCAAGCTGGAGAATGTTCAGGAGGAAGCTGAGGAAGATGACGAGGAGCAGGAGGAAGATGAGGATGAAGTGGATGAGGCTGTGGATCTGGAGTATCAACACCACAATCCGGCCACGCCCAGCGGCAACTCCAGGCAGTCGGCCAGCAGCGAACGCAGCGCCCTGAAAAGTGACTCCAACCTGAGCAGCAGCTATGCGGATTCCGGCATTGGGGTGCACGACGAGGAGCAACAGCAGAAGGTGTCACAGCAGCAGCACCATCAGCAGGCACCACAACCGCCGCCCCGCAGCTCATCGGCGACATCGGCGACCCAATCGCTGCTGCAGCAGCGTCGCGACGGTCGCTCGCCCTTCACCCGCGACGGCTACTCCACGGACTGCGAGGAGACGCTGCTGCAGTGCGACGAACTCGACGACGAGCGCGATCTCAGCGAGCGGCTGGTATGCATCGAGAGCATTAGCCTGCCGGATGTGGTGGTTGAGTCAACGACCGCCAGCACCACAACAGCCACAGCCTCGACCACAAATGGCAGCAGCAACAGCAACCCCAGCGCAGAGGCACAGATCAATATCAATATTGCCCATGGTGCGGGGGGCAATAGTCTGGGCAACGTGCACTTTATACCCATCCATGTCGAAGGGCGCAGTCGCAGCAACAGTCCCAACAAGCAGCGCAGCCGCGACGATAGCTGCCTGGGCGAGAGCCTGGAGATCACCGAGGATGGCAGTGTCCTGAACAAGCCGGTACGGCAGGAGCACTCCTTTGAGACACACGAGCTCAGGTAAGCAGAAAGTTAATCTTCAATGCATCTTTCATGAAAAGAGCATCCTCGTGCCTGATGCATGCTCTTCGTGCAGCAGCTGTGTGGCAGCAACTGCGACGTACTTAATCAAAGCGATGCCAACAATTTCCCCGAAAAACATTTACATGTTGTCGCCAATTTATCTTGATCTTCATCATGTCATGGAGAGCTTTCATGTGTAATTTTTGTCGCCGCAAATTGATCTCCTCTTTGAGAGAATAGACAGAATTTTGGGGGTAAAAGGGGATTATTTACATTGTGATTTAATGCTATAAACTTAATCTTCATGCCAGCATTCGGCATTCTTTGGTGTGTGATATTTGGCGCCCTGAATTTCCGAAATTTTCCGGCATTGCTTGCACAAAAACATTTGCAATATTCTATACAATTTATTTCTGATATAATTATGCATATACTAGATGTACGTGTATTTTGGCATCTGTGAATGAAACGTACAATCTTTATGGAGCATTTCTGAATTTTGATATTTCCTCTCTCTCCCTAGCGGAATTTCATACATTTTTCTTTATCGTTCTCTTTGTCTTCTTCTCTTTTAATTGTCTCTCAAAGTCCATCTCTCATTTCGGTTCATGGGTTTCTCTAATTTAGATTCTGCTCAATTTTCCAGCCAGGGCGCCATTTCCATTTTTAAATAGAACAAAACATATACAAAATATTTTATATTTTTCGGAATCATTTTGGCTGGCATCTGCCCTTCAAAATGCTCTTTTGAGCAAAAGAGTTAAGTGAGAGAGATGGAAATACAAGCGCTTTGAAGTGATGGATGTTTTCAATTTGTACAAAAAGAAATACTTGATGTATAATGCCGACACATAGAAATTTCTTAGGAAAACCCACTTGTTCTTTGTTACGTATACGCAATGAGAAAACAATCGTTTTGTGGCACTTTCCGATGCCATTGTTTGGCCTTCTCAGGGCATTCGAATATGACAGATTGTGACAGCCGTGCGGCAAGTGTCTCACAGCGGAATGCCGCAAAATGGTTTGCACAATTTATATTCATGTATAAATTGCTCAGTTTCAATATTTTCATATTTTGATTTTTGGTCAAAATTGGTGGGCAAAAATAAATTCACTTCGTCATTTGCTCTGTGTCTTTTTTTTTTTTGGCAACATGTTGGCCATTTCCCACGCTTTTTGTTTACCCTTTTGCGGGTAGGGTATGAATGATGCATTATGAACAGAAAATGCTAGAATAGGTTAATAAATTCATAGGTCAGATACATTTCAGAGATTGGTACACAAACCTAGAAAATCGATCAAATATCCTATCAAATATTTGGCTTCACAAGAGCGTATCTAAATCTTCGTTTTTCTTTGCTCTTCACTCATATTTTGCTCATGTGAATAGAACACGATCTGCCTGCTCTAGTTTTCTAATTTTTCAGCCGCTTATTTTCGGCTTGTTGCAAAAAAAAAAAAACAACCGAAAAAAACCTGTGTGCACGATGTAGATTTTGAAACGTTCATAATTTAGAGCAAATCTTGTGCGTGGTGGTGGGGTGGCGTGGGACCGGAGGACCTGCACTTGTGGAATTTTATTTAGGTTGTTCTTGATTTTGTTGGATAATGGATGCTGCCGGTTCCGTGAGAACCTGTGTGTGTGTGTGTGTGTGTGTGTTCATATATCTGTTAGCATTGAAAGATTGTTTATAAAGGCAGTGGCGGAACATGCGGCGTATGCGTAATTTCCTCCAACTAAGTTATGGCTATACTTTCCTGCTGCTCATCATCAAGCACTCCCCCCTTGGGCTTGTTTATTCAATTCAATTTGATGAGCACAAAAGCAACAAAAGCATCCAAACATCCAACTATTTGCTGAGGAAAGTTCACAGAGGCAAGAGGCAGGAGCCAGAACCAGAACCAGAACTAGAGGCAGATGCAGATGCAGCGATGCTCTTGCCAAAAATAATTGAAATAACTTTCAATCTAAGTGCACGCGATGCATCTGTCTTACTCTGTCTATAGTTGCTACTCTCTCTCTCTCTTGCTCGTTCTCTCTCGCTCGTTCCATGTCTTTCTCTAGAGACCAGACAAGACCGCGTGTCACAAAATTTTGATAAATTCACTGCCCATTGTCTATACTAGATGTTTTGTACATTTAAAATATACTTCTTCTATGCCAAACAGTGCGTTTCGAGACCATAAGAACAAACACTTGGAAGTTTAGATAAGTGGAAGAGGATTTCCACGTTTTCTCGTGACGCCCGAACCACTCTTGGTGAATGGTAACCTTTCGCTTATGGGAAATTTGTTCAGCAATTGAACATCCACAAAAGAACAACCTTTCATCATGGAATTTCCTTAGTTCTTTAGCATTCCTACTGTCACGAAACGTACTGCACAAATAGTAAGAGACACAGAGAGAGAGAGTTGGCAGAGTGTACAAGAAAAACAGAGAAAAAAAAACCTATAGTGAGAGTTAAAAATAAAACTTTGCGCATTTTCGCAGCCACAGGAATCGACAAAGATAAATTCAATTAAAACGTATTTCATTCTGCGTTGAAAGCCAAAACAAAACAAAGCAAAGCAGAGCACACAAAGCCACAACAAACTACATATTATATAAAAATCTATAGCTGTATCTTTCAGCCTGCTCTACGTGTATCTGTCTATCGGGTATATATTGTGTAGCAACAAATTATGGTTGAGGAAGACATTCCCCCAGTATTTTTTACACCTCATTTCGGATTTAACGACCGACATTTCCATACGCCAATTGCGTCAAGCAAATGTCTAGCTATAGGTGCAAAACGTGTGGTGTCTCCATTAGAATTATTAATTTTATTATTATTATTTATATTTCGCTACATTGAAATATGCATAAATATTCTATTATTTTGTGCTGTGTCTGCGTTAGAGATCATCACGTTTGTGATTCATTTTGTTTGTGTGCTGGGGGATTATTCACAGACATAATCTGCCTGACAGCTGATCTATTGCTGATATCCGTCCACTATTACTCATCCACGTTCCTTTACTGATCATGCAGAAAAGAGCTGAAACAGCAGAAGGCACGCTTCAACAGCCAGCTGGACGAGGCACACAAAAATGTCCATCAACTGGAAGCCAAAGTCGGGGAAATGCATCTCAAGATAGAGAAATTGGAGCAGGAACTCTCACTCAAACAATGGAATGTGGAAAGTAAGTGAATTGCAATTACAACTTTTTATGGAAAGTGCTAAAAAAAATGCTGTAAATATCAAAGGACTCCAGGGAGAGCTGAGTGCGGCTCATACGGATGATGAATATGTGCGTAAGAAGCTCAAATTTCTGGAGGATGAAAAGGTTCACCTGAGGCACAAATACAGCGAAGATCAAGATGAATATCGGCTCAAATATGGTAAGCAGAAAAGTGCACGCAACGAGATATTCTATTTATTTTGATGATATATTTATTTCCTTTGCAGACGAACTCGAGGCTCAGTACAACGATCTAACCGAGAAGTACAAACAAACGCAGGGACTGGCCAGCAGTTTGCAAACGCAGCTGGCGGGTGCACAGTCCGAGGCTGAGGAGTGGCGCCAGCAGGTGGAGAGCATCCGCGGAGAGTTGGATGAGCAGATACGCATCCTCAAGAATGCGCTGGACAACTCGGAGGCAGAGCGTAAAATATGCGAGGACAAGTGGCAGAAAGAATTCGAAATGCTCAGGACACACAATCGCGGTGGGTCTCAGTCAGAGATTTTAATTCCATTCGCAGACTGAGTCTCATTCTCTTTGTATTCTTTTAGAACGCGAGGAAACCCTGATGACGGACTGCGAATGGCAGCTGCGACAAATGCAGCGTCAGTGCAAGGATAAAATGGACAAATCCAATTACGAACGGAAACAGGCCTCGGCCAAGGCCGAAGAACTGGAGCTGGAACTGCAATCCCGACGCAAGGAGGCCGAACATTTGCGCGTGTGCCAGGCGCAGGTGAACTCCCTGCGTGGCGTTGTGGGCGAACAGGAGCAAACCATTCAAACGCTTATGGATCGCATCGAGAATCTCAAGAGCGATCTGGCCACTGCCAACGAGAGTCTCGAGGCGCAGATCGAAGCTGTGCACAAGATCAAATATCAGTGTGATAAGTGAGTCAAATTGGGAACATTTGTGGGGAATCCATTTAGATGCTGTTGCCTTTTTGCAGTGCCATCTATGACAAGGAGCGTCAAATGATCTACAAAATCGATGAAGTTCGCAATGAAGCTGCCGCCTTCTGGGAAAACAAACTTTAGTAAGGCACAACAATTAATTTAAAACACTAATCCTTCGATGCTTGAACTCTTCCCTTTTTGGTGCTCTACAGCACAGAGATGACAAGACTGACAAATGAATTGGAGTCCGTTTATGTGGACGAGCGGCGGGATGCTTTGGATAAGCTACAGAATGAGCATATCGAGGAGCTGAGAGCGCTGACCAATCGATACACGGCCAATGAGGAAGAACTGCGAGCCGAGGCAAGATCACAACTTTATGTTCCCTGAACTCTGCTCTAAAGACAATTCCCTTATAGATCGATGAGCTGCATGAGAATCTGGAGCTAAAGAAACAGGATTTCCTCACTCTACGCGAACGTTCCGACAATGCCCTGCTGCAGACGCGCATGCATTTGGATCGAGCCGATCGCGAGTACCAGAATGCCATGTGCCGTGAGGAGGATCGTCGCGTGGAGCTCGAGGAGCGACTCAAGAAGGAGTTCGAGGAGGAGAAAACCGAAATGGAGGAGAAGTTCCGCGAGCGTCTGGGCCAGGTCAAGGAAGAGTTTGCCAAGGAGCTGCAGCTGTCCACCCAGGACATGGTGGAGTCCCATCGCAAGGAGTTGGGTAAGTTCTCACAGGACAAACTTTACTCAATGATCGACTAATCGACCATTCCATAACAGACTCACAGAAGGCCAAACTTCAAGCGGAAAGGGACGAGGCACTGCAGGATCTTGTGGACCGACATCGCGCCAAAATCGCCGCTGCCGATGAACGTTTCAAGTGAGTGTGTGGCATGCAACACCCCCTCTGATGCAACATCCTGCCTGACCTTTGGCTTGAACTGAATGCCTTTTTTTTGCCTCTTACTGTCTCATCATTTTTCACATCTCTCCAGCCCCGCCATTTTCATTTACATCTCGACACTCATGTTTCTTGTTTCTTTTTTTTTTATTTTGCTCGGATTCGTGCAGCATGCTGCAGCAGGGTTTAGATGATTTCGATGGCGGCGGTGGTGGACGGAGCGCCGCCTTGTGGGTGCTGGCCAGGGGGGCGTGTCCGTATACGCCCACACTCTATGTGCTATACCTGACAATGTCGCCACTGATCGCCCTCGCATGCTTAGTGTTCAATATTCTGGCTGTGCTCTATATCAAATATCGTCATCTGCTCAAGCGCCACTAAAAAAAGTTCGCTCCGAAATTAACAATTAGAAATTAAGTTTCGTTATGGTGTATGGAATACCCTGTACCCTAGAATACATCGAACACGTATCTCTGAATCTCTTTTTAATTTCTCTTTCTCCTCGCTATATGTAACTTTTTGTGTGTGTTTGTGTGTGTGTGTGTGTGTGTCTCCCAATATACCCGCTGCACACCCTCGAACATTTCGAAACCGCTTCGAAATCCACTTCGAATCCTCTTCGAATCCTGCAGCGATTTAGAGCTTCGGCACCAGCGCAATCTCAAGGACCTGAAGGCGGCATACGATGCCGAGAAGGCGGCGCTGGATAAGCGTGACATCAGCAATGCCAACGAGATCGAGCAGCTGCACCGCAAGTGCCGTTGTCTAACGAATCTGTAAGTACCCCCTATCTCTATCTCTCTCTCTCTCTCTCTCACTCTGTCTTTCCGCTTAGCCGTGTTGTGGCTCCCCCTCTCCCATTCCTTTACAATGGTATCTCTGGTATCTCACATTCCATCTCTATCCCTCCTGTAGATTCGAAGAGATGCGCATGCGCTATGAACGTCGGGATCCCCGTGCCGAGGATCTGCGTGAAATTTCCGAGCTGCGCACGCGCTGTGAGAGCCAGGAGCGGGATCTGTACGTCCTCACCGATCGTTTGCGGGACATGCAGAACCAAATGTCGGAGATGCAGCAAAATGGCAAGGCCGCTGGAAAGTCCATTAAGAAGCCCCCGCCCAAAACATTGCCCACCAGCTGTGACGTCATCTATGAGGAGAACGAAGAGCGGGAATCCCCCGAGCAGGAGAGTGGCAGCCAGGAGGATGACGAAGAGGAGGAGCAGGAGCAGGAGCCCAGCGACACGGAATCAAATCACACAATCGAAGTCAATGGCAAGGATACACACCTCAACGAGGACGACGCCCACCTGATAACGGCAGTCTAAACCGATCCGATCCTATCCGATCGATCTTGTCACTTCCAAATCAACAATTTTTGGCTGTTTTTTTTCAAAAGAGTTCCAACCCGAGGGGTGGCCCATGGGGTCAGTGGGGGACCAAAGTCTTGGCACTAAAACGCAAAAAAAAATTGTAAAATCACTTTTTGAATTGGTTTTTGAAACCGCACCAAAAACAAAACCAGAACGAAATAAATGTAAATAAATATTTTTAACTAAATTTCACAGAAAAGTTTTAACTTTGAAATGTTAACGGATATTTACATAACAGAGGCCCTAACAGGTCCATAACATTTTGGGACTTTTCTCGAGAGAGCGCACAAACGCTCATGGTTGCGCACCACATTCGAGCGGAAGGCGAAAATTTCCCTGACCGTTTAGACTCAGGAGAGTATTTCCCTGACCGTTTAGACACAGGAGAGCATTTCCCCGACAAATTGCCCATTCACAATAATCCAAAATTTCCCATTCACAATAATCCAAAATTTCCCATTCACAATGGGCGCCTTTTATTATTATTTTTATCATTCCTTCCTCCATTCCATCATTCAGTCAATCTTTCAATTTTCTTGCGTGCGGAGCAAAATCCGCGTTGATAAAACTTAACCCAAACACGTACGGCGCGTATTTGTGTACCGTTTGAATCGAATAATTTGCAGAATGTATTGTTGCAAGTTTTTTATTTAATTCTCCACAAGTAACAAAATTCGGTTTAGAGTAAAATTCTAATTTTTTTGAATCGTTTCAACGGTTATTTCGCGAAAACACAGCAAAAGCCGGTAAATGGACACTTAAAACGAAATAATAACTGTATGCAGAAATTGTGATAAGATTTTGTTGATTTTCTGTAAATATCGCGCTGCAACGTGGGTGGCAATCATCTTAATAGATAATAACAAAAAGGAACGCTGCCGGCTGCAATTATGAAAAGGTAGAAGGGGCAACAACAAAAGGGCGGAGCAGCTGGAAGCTGGAAGATTTTGTTGCATTGTTGTTTGCATGTCCCATGTGCCCCCCCCCCCAGAGGTCGTTGGCGCTAAGGTCACGCAGAACCCAGCCCAGTGCAAGTGACAAAAACGAAAAAAAACAACAACCATAAGCAGAGTTCTTAGTTCTTAGTTCTCCCACCCACGCTTAAAACGACAACAGCAAAAACAACGTGTGTGTATGTGTGTGTCGCCGCATGGCTCAGGCAAACGGTTAATCTTCATGTGTGTGTGCGTGCCTGCTGTGTCGGTGTGTGATTTTGTGTGATTTCCCGCTCTCTCTCGCGCAATTTTGTAAGGAACGAAACGAAAATCGAAAATGTAAGTGCCGCTACTTTTATTGCTTTTCTACGTTTAAGATCTCTCCTCTACCTCTGTTTCTTCAGTTCCTCTTTGCCTTACTGTTCGTACTACGTGTGTGCTGCAGCCTCCACCAAGCGCCGCATTTAAAGGATATTCCTAATCCGTTTTATTGATTGCCGCTCGTACAGGGTAGGGCAGGGGTGCAGGGAAAGGCAGAAACAGCGACAGCATCACAGCTGGAGTGCTTCGTCTCTGTCTGTTACGTGTGTATGTGTGTGTTTGTGTTCTTGTTCTGGCAATCTGTGCTGCACCCCTCCCCCGCCACAGACACTCTGATGCTTTTTTTATACCCTTTGCAGAGGATGTTACGTTTTCGAGCAGATGTTTGAAACGCAATGCAACAAAAGTTAATTTTTTAATACATAGAGAATCCCGATTTAAATCAGCAGTAAAGTTTATAGTCAGGTTCATTTTGATTTCTGTCTGTCTGGTTTTTAAATCTTATTCAGATGCCGCTGGAACCTTCGGTCGAACATTTTAAATTCCTTTTAAAAGAGTATTCTCATTCTCGAACTGCCGTTTCAGGCATATTTTTTGTGGTTTTTTTGTTGCCTTTGTTTCCACGGACCGGAGGATTCTCCCTTGGGATTTGCTGACAAATGTTAATTATTTTGGCATTGCTGTCGTTCGATCTTCCTTATTCATTTTGCTTCTCTGCTCGCTTCTCCTGCTGTGGATCTCTCTTTCCCCACTCCTTTCTTAACATCTTCTCATTGCTTAATTCTGCTTCTTATCTTTTTTGCTTAATTCCTGAGCATTTCTGAAAATAACTTTATCGTTGCGAAAAATTAAGAGAAATATGTGCGGCACCTGCCCCCGTGGGCATAACTCAATAATCACATCAAATGTCTCCACCAGTCACCCCTCTCGCCTGTCCTTCATTCGTTTTGCTGTGCAACACCTCCTTAAGAGGTGTGTCCAGCTCCCCCCCCCCCCCCCCTATCTCTCCCTCGCTCTACAACTCACTGCCCCAGCTAATGCCGCACAGCTGCGCGCCATTTAAGTCGCGGACAAGTGTTTTGCCGGCATTCGCGGAATGCGACGACGGAGCAGAGGCCCAGGGCCCAAGCGAGAGGCCCGAACAGAAGCCGCAGCAAAAAGTGGCAGGCAACATTGCCACCAATTATGCGATAAGCAAGTGGAGAGCCACTACAGATGCTTCTCCTCCGGTTTAGCCCCCCGTCCTCCTCCTCTCACGCTCTTAAAGTTTTGCCTGCTTATAGCTTTAACGGCTTGTGACTCTCAAAGATGAAAACTTAGAGCGAAGGAAAGCAAAAGTTTTGCAGGCAGCACCAGGACCCCGTGAATAGAGTAATTTAAATGCCGGATTCTATGTGGCAGCTCTCCCCAAAAAAAAGAATCAAAGAAAATTTCACCCATAATAATATTTAATAATAATAATGAACAAAATTGAGACGGGAAAAACTAACAAAAGGCCGCGTGCTTCGGCACTCAGGGCGCTGCCTTCAAACGAAACGAAAAGCGTGCGACAAGAGGGGGTCTGTCGGGGGGCAGGCCAGAACAAGAGCAGAGGAATGACCTTATATTGCAACTGCAACGCAAACAAAGGTCTGCTAATGGGGAGGGAGAGAGAGAGAGAAGCAGCAGCAGGAGAGAGAGAGAGAGAGAGAGATCAGCGCCGGCAAACCGGTCGATGGATGCCCATTGGAGGTGGCGGCTCTCTTCCTGTGCTCCCACTAGCTATGCCCCCGCCCCAACTTCTGGTCCGTGGCTACTGCGGGGCAATTGGGCCAAAAGCATAAAAATCAGTCAAGAGTCGGCGTTGCAGCACGTCCAGCGCTCAGTGCCCAGTGCCCAGTGCACGAGCATTAAAAGCGACAAACAAACAAACAAACAGAACTTCACCGAACAAACGGGACGGGCCGGGGGACAGACGGCAGAATGGGACTCGGAACTGCGGGCCTGCGGACCTGAAATCTCCTCCTGCTCACAGAATCCTCACTCCTCGTGCTCCTCCTAAAGGCCGAGGCCCTGGCCACAGAAATCGATTTTCTCGCAAAACTTGGCCAGGGCTCAGTGCGAGTCCAGAGCCGCAGGGCACAGGGCCCCCCGCCCTACTTCATGTTCCTTTTCCACCGCGACTGCTGCTGCTGTTGCTGCTGGAGCTGCTCCCACTGCTCCACTTCTTCCACTTCTCTCTTCCTTTTGCTCCTCTTGCTGTAATGGATATGGTGCAGGCGCGCGCGGTTTTTTCGATGATGATACTCTCTTGATAATGATGATTGAAATGATGATGATGATGATGCCACGTTTCGGTTCTGCAGCTAAAAAATCGCAAGTCAAACTGTCGTCGCCGCCGCTGTGTTGTTTAGCTGTCTCTCACTCTCTCTCTCTCTCTCTTTCTCTCTACCTCTTTCACTGTGCGCCTCTTTCCCTTCCATTCTCGCTGTAATTGCAATTGCAATTTTCTCCAACTGCAACTTCCCCCAACCGACTGCTGGTGCTCCTGCTGCTGGCTGCTGGAGGGTTAGTAAATCTGCAAATTGCATTCGCCCAGAAAATTTAGTAGACCCCTGGAACGGAACCCCTGGAACTCGAGAGTTATTTAATTTGTGTTATAAATAAATTTGTTTAAAGCAATAATTGCCTCGAGGGGAAGGTGGAATGGAAGGGCGCGCACTGTAAATGTTTACCGAGATAAGCTTAGAAGAAGGGAACACAAAAAGAGAGAGACAGAGAGAGAGAGAGACAGCTTTGGGGAATTGTTCGAATTCGAGATTACTGTACGATCTTTTTGCTAATTGAAATCCTCTAACACAAAGAGTGCACAGGGATTAGAAGAGTGGGCAGTAGAGGATGAAAGGCCAAACCAATTCACGAGAAGAACAACATAATTTGAGGCCTAGACACGCAACAACAACATCATGGAACAACAACAACAACATTTGTATGACCAAAGCGGCAATTACTGAACTGATGCTGCCCTCAAGCCTTTGCCACCTGCTTGTCTGGGAACTTTCTTTCTCTCTCTCTCTCCCTGTCTCGCTGTCGCTGCTGCGTGTGTTCCCCAGCAGCTAAACTGTCAATAGAAGGGGCACTGTGTATAGGGGGAGAGATACATAGATAGAGGGAGGAGGGGCCTGTGGGAGAGTCGCTGTTTTTCAAGTTGTCTGCAAACGACACCCAACGATGACATCGTCCGTCGCCTTTTGCACTGATTTTTGCCGTGTTCCCTTGTGGGCCCCCCTGGCCCTTGGCCCTTGTGTGCTTTGGCTCATCAGCAAAAAACAACAAATCAACGGTGAAAAGAGCACAGGGAGGGGAAGCATCAATGACAACCAAAACAACAACAACAACGATGAGAGTAGACCTTGGAAGGCTGCTTGCATCCCTATCTAGCTATCAGGAAAGAGAGTGAGGACGACCCGCAGAGACCCTCATTCAAAGAGAGGAGCAACAGAAGCAGCAGCAAAAGGAAGAAACAGAAGCTGAGGGGAAGCAGAGCATAAGGCCATAAAGCAGTGGAAGATGCAGCGACAGAGCTTTTGCATGCTGCATTTTTACGGTCGTTTCTCTCTTCCTGTTGTGCTTGTACTTTGCATTCACTCTCTCTCTCTCTCTACCACCGCTCTTATGCTCTCAGCTTCTTCTCCTTACTTTGTTGTTGTTGTTTTTGGCATTGCTTTAATTATTGTTCCGTTTCGTCTGCCATTTGCTGCTGCACT